AAGCAGAGCTAAGGCAAAAGCTTTAGAAATGATTGAAGGTAATTTTAAAGAGCAGTTTTTGAATATTAGAGAGTACTGTGAGCTTGTTATGCAGACAAATCCTGGTAGCGTATGCAAAATGAAAACAGAAATTGATAGGGAGGGTAAACAAATATTTTGTCTAGATGCAATGTGGAGAGGCTTCAAAGTAGGCTGCAGGCCATTTATAGGGCTAGATGGTTGCTTTTTGAAAGGGCCATATGGAGGACAGTTGCTAAGTGCTGTTGGTTGGGACTCAATTGATAGTTATTACCCAATTGTTTTTGCAGTGGTGGAGGTTGAGTCAAAGGCCACTTGGCAGTGGTTTATTAATGAATTGATGGCAATCATTGGTCCCCTTATCACTTAACTTTTATCTCTGACAAACAAAAGGGATTGGTTGATGTGTTGGACAGGTTATGTGAGAATACTGACATAGGTTTTGTGCTAGACATATGTATGAAATTTTAGGAAGAAATTTCCATGTCTCAGATTGAAAACTGAATTCTTGAATACCTCTAATGCATTTACACTTGAGGTGTTCAAGACTCAGATGACAAACATTAAGAAAATGAACAATGATGCTTTTGAGTGGCTGAACAGAATCCCTCACCATTTATGGTCCAAGTGTGGCTTTACAGTAGACTTAAAGTGTGATTTAAATAGCAATAACATGTGTGAGTCTTGGAAAACGCAGATTCTAGAGGCCAGAAGCAAACCACTGATTTACATGTTTGAAATGATTAAGAGGTACTTATTGAAGAGGTGCAATAATAAGAAAGAATACATGGAAGGCCAATATGATCTTTTATGTCCAAAGGTGCAAGATGAAGTGGATAAATTGAGGTTGAAAGCCTGAAAATGTCATGTGTAACTATATAAGATTGACAGTAATGGGGAGAATGATGGAGTTGATATGGCGAACAGAAAATGTATTTAGAGGGTTTAGGAGGTCACTGGTATACCTTACATACATACAACAGCTGTCATCAATTCTAGAAGAGGCAATATTGAAGATTATATGAGTCATTACTACCACAGAGAGATACACCTTAAGATATATGCACACATTGTGAAGCCACTTTGTTTGAGAAAAATTCTGAACATTGAAATACATCCTCCAATGCTCCCACCATTGAGAGAAAAACCAAAAATGGGAAGGCCAACAAAGTAAGGAATAAAGAGTGTTGAAAACTGAAAGAAATCAAAGCTAAAAAGGCTGTTTCTGGGAGATTGAACTTTAAAGTGAGGTGTGGAAAGTGTAATATAGAAGAGCACAATGTCAGAAGCTGCAAGAATGATGCAACACTTGCTAAACCACCAGGAGGCAAAGGTGGAAGGCTTCATTTGAAGAAAACTGAGCTGTTTGTGGGAGAAAGTAGCAGTGGGGGAGGTGGAAGATCAGTTAGGGCTAAAGGACATGCAATTGTGCAAAAGAGGTAATATACATTCTTATTTTTTTTAACTGTGTAATTTATAAGTGTAATAACTATGTATATGATACTTATGTTTGTCTACTTTTATTGCATGTGAAGGTTACTTATGTGCCCCAATCTGAAACACTTGGAATTGACCCTACACTTGTTACCCAGGAATCTATGGTATGTGGACAGTCCTAAAAAGTTTGATTCCATTCATTTATTCCATTCATTTATTTGTAATAAATGTTTGCACATCTAATACATTCATTTTTTACTTGTAGGACAATGAATAGTGGCTGAACTGACTTTGGATGCAACTCTTTTGGTGTACTTTTGCTTAAAGCTACTTTGGGACTTATGGGTAGCCTGTTTGCTTCATGTGCATGCAGTGTTCTAATCAATTCAATAACTTTTTGTGGTTGTACTGACTTCAATGACAGTATTTTTTGTGATGTGTATGCATAAGTTCACATTTTGCACAGGTTCATATTGGTATATGAGTTGTAAAACTTTACTACTAGTAGTTGTGCATACAGTGTCTAGTAGTTGTGCATGCAGTGTTCTAATCAATTACTTTTTGTGGTTATACTGACTTCAATGAGAGTGTTTTTTGTGATGTGTATGCACAGGTTCACAATTAGCACAGGTTCACATTGGTATATGAATTGTAAAACTTTACTGCTAGTAGTTGTAAGATTTTAATATTCTTTGTGACGTGGATGCATAATGGTTACTTAATGGTTATTTTGAATGACTTATGGTGACTTACTTTGAATCACAGCTTCACAATGATGCATGCCTTATTTTGAATCACTGGTTCATAATGCAATAAAAGTAGACAAACATTGTTTTGCATCACAGGTTTAGAGATTCATAAATATTGCATGATTCATTTTACAGCTGCAAACATTGCTACCACTGCAATATAAGTAAAAAAAAACCGAGAAGAAAACCTACACAAACACCATTACAACTATTACCACCATTTATGTGCCTCAGACACTTATGGTAGTTTTCATTTATCTCATTTCTCAACTTCCTCACTTCACACATGAGATCAAACACAAACCTTTTGTAATATTCTGATAATTCTTCATCCTCCCACATATAAAACTTGGATGACTTTATTTTGTAATTTGGATAGCCATAGAATCTTCTGCCTGAATTTCTTTCAGTCCAAGAAGTCTTCAATGGAGTCAAAACTCCACAATCACAATACAAATTTTTTGTTGGACTTGATACAAGCTTGCATTCTTGACTTTTTGCTACATGAGCTTAAAGATGAAACCATTTTCCATCAACCTGCAAAAATAGTGAAAGAAATACAGAGAAAGAAATAGAAAATGGAAATATAATGGTGAGAGAGAAGTTAGAGAGAAAGAAGTTAGAGAGGAAGGAAATATAATGGTGAGAGAGAAGTTAGAGAGAAAGAAGTTAGAGATTAATTATTTAGAGAGAGAGCCGTTAGAGATGAGAGAATAACAAAATTTAAAAATTATATTCATGTTTACAAAAAAAAAAACCCTATAGTTTCAAAAGTGTGCAAATAACCCCCTGTGGGCATTTTGGGTAGTGCAAAAGGGTAGTTTGGTATTAAAGGCTAATTTTTGCTCACATGCATGGCACATGCCAAATTTCTTGGTCAGAAGCCCTTACTTGCACGTTTTTTAGTCTAAGAGTGTGGCGTTCACCAAAGTTGTTATTTGCACATTTTTAAAACCACAGAGATATTTTTTGCATTTACCCCTTATATAAATAGTCTTACATTTGTTTCCAGCACTGAAGGTGGTGATGCAAACCGCAAAGGTGAATATTTCTCGTTACCATCAGATTTTGAGAAAACCATTCAAATCCATAATGACATACAATCCTAAGAAAAGCATAAATAAAAAATACAAATCGAAAGGAAGAAAAGCATAAAAAATAAAAAATAATAAAATAATAAAAAATTGACTAAATCCATTATTTTCATCTTTGCCCAATACTACTTGAAAAAAAGTTAATTATGATCTTAAAACACAATCAAATTCAAGATTATGATCAAGACAATCAATTCAACAGGATGACTGTAGCCTAATGCCCACTCAATTGAAGGGTTGCAAAAAAAAAAAAAAAAATTTGTTTCCATATATTATAACCTCCATAAAATTTTATTTCTTTATATTACTAAACCTAAAGAGATTTAATAGTGGCCCAAAAGGTGTGTATCCTTATCTCATTTTTTATTTTTATTTTTTTATTTATCGGGACTAAATATGAATATATATCGAAAGTTCTGGAGTCTAATGGACCAATAGTATTTTCTCACCTTCAAAAGTAGGTGGTCAAAAATTCATTAGGTTACAAGTATACTAAGATCAACACTCAAATATAGGGATGTTACAATAGAGTGGTATATACTCAACCTTACAAAATCTGTAGAGATGTCCCATAGCTGATGAGATTTAGTTGATTCTAGTGCCAAGATGGTATTGCCATTGAATGTAAGATACAGTTATTATAGCAGATGAGTCAATCTGCATTGTTCTATTTTATCTGTGTTATGTTAGTGAAATTAATTTACTTTACCCAAAGTAAGAACATTCATGTTTTATTGCAATTTTGCAACCCCAAGTTGGTTCATTTCGCATGTATGGAGGTAATAAATTTGGTTGTACTTAAAGAATTATAAAGTATGAACTGGTCCAAATTTACAAGGCCCTTTGCATACATATACTGGGCATTGAAAAAATATATTAATTAGCAAGTATCAATTAAAAAATTTATTAATCTAAATTAATTCCAATCTGACTTATTAAATAAAATTGATTAACCTACCAGTCGATAAGAATGTTAAATTGGAAGAATTTTAAGTGTTAAAAATCGAGTGAAACAAAGAAAGTAATATTATTCTTTTTTATCAATACTTCCAAAATAGAAGGGTTTAAGTTCTTATGTAATGTAGGTGAGTGTTTTTTTTTTTTTTTTTTTTTCCTGGACAAAATATTTAAACTCTCTCTCTCTCTCTATATAATACAAATATGAGGTTGAACAAATTCATAACATCATTAATAATAATGATATGATTGGTATCTCTTCTCCTTTCAAAGTCTTCTAAAAAATCATTGTGGAAAATGCCATTTTTTTCTTTATTTTGAATTTTTGAGTAATAATATACAACATCATTATTCATAATTAATAATCAATGAAAATAATAAAAAGTTTTAATTTATGTAAAATAAAATGAGGTGAGACTTGTGACCCAAACTAGTATGGGCAAATAATTAAAAAAAGTCTTAAATTGACAATAAAAATCAAACAGAACATACTAACATTGGACCAGCCCACCTAATGCTCGGGCCAGGAGGCCCAGGACTTTCATTCAATCAGACATTTTCATACCACCAGCATCGATTTGTAAAGCTGAAGAACCCTAACACACAGAGCTCAAAGCACTGCGAATCTATGAAGCTCCCCCACTTCACAGGCAAGCACTCATCTCTACACCCTTTGCTGTGATTGAAAGCATATTATATATATATATATATATATATATATAACATCATTGTGTTTCTTCAAGAAATGACTATATATATCTGCAAAAGTCTCATCTCACTCTCTCTCTCAAGAACTCTTCACATCTCAACAAAACTCCAATCTCTCTTCTCTTTATCCTATTCTTCTCTTCCACTCCAAAAACCCTCCATTGCGGTGGCCGATTACTTGATTGATAGACACAAATTTTCTCCTGAAACTGCTTCGAAAGTCTCTTCTGTCGTAAAGTATGTGAAAAGGCCTGAAGAGACCGATTCGATTCTCTCATTTCTCCAGGAAAGTGGTTTTTCCGATACCCATCTCGAGCTTCTCATCAAACGCATGCCTAGACTTCTCTCTGCAAATCTTGAGCGGACCATCAAACCGAAAATCAAGTTATTTCAAGACTTGGGCTTTTCTTGTTGCGAATTTGTGAAAATTGTTTCATCTAACCCACGGATTATAACTGGTAGAGTTGATAATAAACTTGGCCCGTCGATTTTAGCATTGAAGAGTGTTTTGGGTTGGAATATGGATGATGTGTCTAGGGTTTTAAAGAAATATGGGAGGATTTTGATCTATGATTTGTCGAAAACTATGATACCCAATATTGAATTTTTGAAGAGTTGTGGTATTAGTCCGTCGCAAATAGCTCAATGTGTCTATATTTTCCCAATATTTTTCATTCATAAACCGACCAGATTTAGAGAATGGGTTAAGCGGGTTGATGAGATGGGCATTGACAGGAAGTCTAAGATGTTTCTTTATGCGATTCGGGCTATTGGTTCGATGACTAAAGAGAATTGGGAGTTGAAATTGGAGTTCTTCAAGAGTTTGGGATTTTCAGAAGATGACATTTTGTCAGTTTTTAGGAAACAGCCTCATGTGTTTGCTGTGTCAGAGAGGAAAATTGAGGCCGTAACACAGCTTTTCCTCAGCACAGGCAAATGTGATATCTCATATGTTGTTAATAACCCAGACTTACTTGCTCGCAGTATTGAGAGTAAGCTTAAGCCACGGTTAAGAGTTCTGGATGTTTTGGAAAGCAGGAATTTGCTTCCTAAAAAGCCTAGTTTGGCGTATGCATGCAAGATCACTGATAAAAAGTTCTATGAGAAATATGTACTCCCTTATTCAAATGAAGTTGGCGAATTATTTGTGGTTAAGAAGGCCTCATAGAAACCAGAAATGTGTGCTTAAGATACATCCTTTGTGACTTCCTGAATCTTTTTCCCAAAAAGCAAATGATTTGGCAGCATAACATGGCAGGTAAGCAGGTACTCTTTTGCACTTGATATTCATATGGTGTACTACTCTGAAAAACATGGATTAATTTTTGTTTACTAGGCTTAGCTTTGTCCATTTGGTAGATTCATTTCTCTGTTTCCTGTTGCTTTTCTTGCCTTGTTGATTATTCTGTGTTGTAATTCTACCTATTTATCACTATTATGTTATGAAATTTATTTACTCTACTGAAAGTGAGAATATTCATGTTTTATTGCAACCCCAAGTTGGTTCATTTTACATGTATGATCCTAATAAATTTGATGGCACTTAAAGAATTGCAAATTATGAACTGTTCCAAATTTACAAAATTAGATTGGGATAATTAGCTTTTGGTGACTAAAATTAACAAAGAAATGTTTTATGGTGGCCTTATCCGTCTGTTTAGATTTACGGAGCCTAAATTCAAAAAAAAAGTATCCAAGCTTGAAAAATAATTGCCACTAAGTGACTATTTAAACTCTAATGTCCTAAATATTCTTCTATATTCATAACAAATTACGAAACATTGGGAATAAATTCAGCATCTAGATTTGCCTGTTAGACCATGTATATCCGTATTCACTAACCCTAAATATCTTTAACTGATTATGAAAACCTCCTAATCATAATACTGGTAGAAGCAATAACAACCCACCCTTGCTAATAATGCAAGATGTAGCAATAAACTATAAAATCAATATGGCATTATGTTCCAAATCAAACAAATAGTCTGTTGTGTGCTAGTTTGTGTGGATCACTTGCTAGTCATGGATATGTGGGCTTTCATTGCACGATCTTGGTGTATTGAACCCTTCACAGAGCAGTTACACCCCCACCTTGTGCGACAACACGAACGAGCTTTGATGCTCTTTAAATGGTCCCTTGTTGGTAATTACTTTTTCGATTTGGTCCCTATTAATATATGTATATATATATATATATATATTTTGTGAGTTTAAAGTAGAGGTGGCAATTCGTGTTCGTGAGTCATAATCGTGTCGTGTCGATGTAAGGGTAACAAGTAAACATAAACCGAACCCATTTGATAATCTTGTCAAGAACTCTCAGCACTAACCCAACTCTTTTATTATATGTTGTTAATAATCCAGACTGACTTGGTCACAGTATTGAGAATAGGCTTAAGCCACGGTTAAGAGTTCTAAATGTTTTGGAAAGCAGGAATTTGCTTCCTAAAAAGCCGAGTTTGGCGAATGCATGCAGGATCACTGATAAGAAGTTCTATGAGAACATGTACTCCCTTATCCATTTCGTATGTATGGTCCTAATAAATTTGATGTTGGGAATAAATTCAGCATCTAGTTTTTGCCTGTTAGACCATGCATATCCGTATTCACTAACCCTAAATATCTTTAATTGATTATGAAAACCTCCTAATCATAATGTAGGTAGAAGCCATACAGCCCATCCCTTATTACCAATCCCTGTACTAAAAGTATGTTGTGTGCTAGTTTGTGTGGATCACTTGCTAGCCATGGATATGTGGGCTCTCTTTTCAGTGCATGATATTGGTGTGTTGAACAGTTACACCCCAACTGAAAATCAGAATGAGGACATCGCATTAAAGAGCAATCGAAACCCTCACGTAAACTACACCCCCACCTTATGCAACAACACGAACGAGCTTTGATGCTCTTTAAATCGAAAGGCTCTATCATTGTTACACTTTTTTCTAGTTTGTATGTTTGGATTCCGTTGGTTGATTCTTGGTGGGTTTATCGAAATTGGGGGTGGCTTTGGAGAGAAGAAAAAAAGGGATTGAGGATCTCCATTCGATGCTGTTACAAGCTTTGGCCACAGCTAACTTCAAGGTCATCGAACCATGAATAAGACGATTAGGCACTTTGATTCTTACTGATAAGATACTGGAGAAGAGAGTTCATTCGAGAAGCCATAAATTTTGAGAACACCTAGAATCCATCTCTAGAATTTAAAGTGTTAAAAACAGTGTGAAACAACGAGAGTACAAAGAACAAAAAGTTGGAGCTAAAATACAGAACCATAACAACCTAGACTCTGTCTAATTTCATTTCACGCTCAAGATGGACAGATTTGCATATTCTAATCAAGACAACTATGCAAGCCCACTAAAGACTTTACGAGGAAAATAGGTGGACATGTTCCATGCCAAAAAATAAAAAAAAAGGGAAAACTAAGTGTGAGTAGTGTTAGTAGTTCTAAATAACAAAATAGTCTATTTTAAAAGTTCATTTTTCAATTTGATTGAATTAAATTAAATAATTACAAATGCATCAATAATTATTATTAAGGGCCAAAATACCCTCAAACTCTTATTTCAAATTACCAAAATATCCTTAAGATAATATAATTTCAAAATGGATGCTCTTTAGTTGTTATTTCCTTCTTCAATAAAATTGTTTAATTATCAACAAAATATACCGTGTGTGTGTGTGTGTGTGTGTATATATATATATATAATCAAAGATTCAAAGAAAGTTGTACCAAATGATCCTTTCAAAGTGGTATGTGTAATCTATACTAAGACCAAATTCACAAGATTATAAAATAAAATATAAAATAAATAAATAAACTTGTCAAAAGAACCTATACTATTTTGATAAGAACACAGGAAGGAGGTAATAAGAGAGGTACTCTTGCTAAGTATGTGAATGACCCAATTGCTTTTTCAAACTCAAATCAAAGAGTTAGAAGGAGGCCAGAACGAATTATTGCAACCTTGTGGGGGTGTATCCAACTCGAGAGAGAGTAGATCTGTATGGAATTGAATAAAGAAAGTACTAACAACCAGAAGAGGGTATTGTGGATTATAAAAAAGAGGAGGCTATCATATGTTGTACCCATACAGACACAGTAATATAGAGAAGATGCGTAAAATAAATTTAGGTTTGTAAGACATTCTATAATCGCTCCTCTTGTTGCAATGGATTTGATTTTTTTATGAATTTTTTCTTTCTCTCATGCACAACACTTTTTCCAAGCAGAGAAACCACCCACTTCAGCAGGGTTTGATAGTTTCCCATTTTTTTTGGTATTTTGCAGTATGTGATATTAAGGAGGACATTTTGGTATTTTGGACTGAGAGATTGGTGGGCATTTTGGACCTTAACAAAAATTATCGATGTATTTGTAATAATTTTGTTTAATTTAATCAACTTGAAAAGTAAACTTTTAAAATAAACTATTTTGTTATTTAAAACACCTAACACTACCTATTCGTAATTTTCCCAAAAAAAAATTATTTTACCAAAAAAATGAGAGCATGTGCAGTTGGGATGTGGCAGGGACAGTGTAATTTCTGGCTATTGAATTGTTGAATAAGGAGGGAAAAAAGACTTGGAAAATTGTGAAAACAATGAAGGAGGGCTTTGGAAGGAATAGAATAGATAAAAATCTAGAATGGAATATGATATTGGTAAATTATCGGTATTACAAAATAAAAGACTTGGAAAATTGTGAAAACAATGAAGAGGGCTTTGATTAGATAAAACTCTAGAATGGAATATGATATTGGCAAATAAAAGGGTCAAGGTTGCAGTTCAGTGGTATTTTCAGGATTAGAAAATAAAAGAGTTTAAGTTTTTGTAAGGGCAAATTATGTGAGTGTGTTATTTATCGGGACAAAATATTATATATATATATATATATATATATATAACCGACCAAGCATATATATATATAACAGAGTAAAATAATTAAGGCGGTATATAACCGACCAAGATATATAACAAGATAAATAACTGAATATTAAACTGATATTAAAATTAGAAAGTAATTACAACAGATTACTGAAAATAACTTACAAATTAATGTAATAGAGGTCTGAAGAATACATCATATTGGTGAAGTATTACACTCAGAAAGGGTAAATAAACAAGAACTGAATATTACAATTGGAACTGGATAGGGAAGCCTAAATTCTTTCTCGCAAAGTCTGGAAGAGTAGCCTGAATAAAGCCTGATGAGCAATGGGATTGGCCACTGCATTTATAGGCAAGGCTTGAGACATCTGAGGCGCAATTTCCGGCTTTCAAAAAGTCACTTTTGACTTTTGAGGCATCTGTGACTGTTCATGAATAGTAAGTTATTGTTCCTGTCGTTTATGCCGACGGTTACTGTAGATGAATAGTTCTTTGTCGGGAGCACTGTTGAAATAGTGATTCTGTCGACAGTTACTGTAGAAATAGTGACTTTGACCTGTTACTGTCGCAATGTTGACTTTTCCTGAAAATCTTTAGCAAGGATCATCATAGGGATTTTGACTATCTTGGAATACTGAGTCATCATATAAATGAACTGGGTGACTAGACTCAGCTTCAGAGAATGCATCATCAGCTTCTTCCTCTTCTTGGGATAGCTCTTGGAGGCGATCAGTTAAGGAAGTAGCCATTTTCTTGAGTTCTTCAATCTCCGATTTGGGAGTTTTCTTGGATTTGGAGGTAGTTACAGAAGAGGTCTGTTTGTGTTGAGTTACTTGTTGTGATTATGAAATCGTTGTGACTGGTGTTGGTAACTGCTGTGAAATCGTTGTGACTGGTGTTGGTAACTGCTGGGGAAATTCTCCCTCATTGTAACTAATGATTCTGTCAATTTGGAATGCGTCCCACCATTTAACATAGTGACGACGGATAACTAGAGTACCTTGGATATCATATTGCCATTTGAAAATCCATGGAACCTTGTATTTGCAGGAGAATAGGAGGAGAATAAGGAACTGAGAGTTATGTTTATTAACTTTGTAAACAGTGTGGAAATATTTGATTTGGTTGGCAAGAGTTAGGGGCAAGATTTCTGGAATGGAGCTATACTGAGACCACCATTTCATAAACCAGGTAGGAATTGGAGTTTTGTAATTGAATTGGTTATCAAAATTGAGAAACCAAGAATGTGTGAATGACTCATTTTGGTGAAGCAAG